CCACGGCAATAGTGGTAAAGATGGAGAAAGAAGGATGGATTTGAGAGCTGAGAGGTGTGAGTCACAGATCCGGCCTTGACTGGCTATGGAGGTTGAGAGAGAAATCAAGAATGGCCACCAGGCTCAGGGCCAGAAGAAAGGAGTCGATGAGTTGTGCGGTCCAAAACGAAGCTAAAGACCATTTTAACTGAGATTTCCGTTTGGAAATTTGAGCTGAATTTTAATTGCCCCCTGGAAACATACCTAAAACACTGGATTTCTAGGTCTGACGCTCAATGGAGAGATTGGGAGTGACAAGAGGTCTGTGACTTGTCAATAAGGAAGAAGAAATCTTAGGAGAGGATAAGATGTTTAGGTGGAGAGTATGGTGTAAGCAGAAATCAGGCCCAAGACAAATTCTCAATGAACACCTCAGGAGAGGCTGGGACACTAAGCCTGTGAAGGAGACTGAAGCAGGAATATGGAGCAGGAAGGAAGGCAGGAGGCAGGCAAAGGAAGACAGTGCTTCGAGGAACAGTCATTGGCGTCTAACCCTGACACCAATGCGTCAGGTGAAGCGGAATAAGGACAAGAAGTGCTTACTGGGTGACAATATGAGGGTATTTCAGTGAAGCAGCAAGAGGCCACAGGCACTCTGCATTATGCAGTAAAGGAGAGCAGGCAGTTATTGGAGAAGTTGATTTGGAGGAGAGAACCAAGTGGCCACAAGAGGCAGGTGCAGCGTCAAGGAAGAGTTTCTGTTAATATAGCAGAGATTTGAGTGTGTTTAAATAACAATTTCAAGCACTTAGAAGAATGTCCCACCATGTGGAAGGCCTAGGAATTTCAGGTAGGAAACTTTATTCCTAAACAGTTGGAAGCTATTGAAGCAGGAGAATGATATGTTCATTGAGTAAGACTTACCATGGAGCGGGGTATTCCTGGGGTATTCCCAGGGGACATCCTCAGGTCAGTTCAGTTCAGTCGCTCAGTCATGTCCGACTCTTTGTGACCCCATGGACTGCAGCATGCCAGGCTTCCCTGTCTATCACCAACTCCCGGAGCTTGCTCAAACTCGTGCTCATCAAGTCAGTGATGCCATCCAACCATCTCATCCTCTGTCATCCCCTTCTCCTTCTGCCTCCAATCTGTCCCAGGGTCTTTTCAAATGAGTCAGTTCTCATCAGGTGGCCAAAGTATTGGAGTTTCAGGTTCAGCATCAGTCCTTCCAATGAATATTCAGGACTGATTTCCTTTAGGATGGACTGGTTTGACCTTCTTGCTGTCCAAGGGACTCTCAAGAGTTTTCTCCAACACCACCGTTCAAAACCATCAATTCTTTGGTGCTCAACTTCCTTTATGGTCCAACTCTCACATTCATATACGTGACTACCGGAAAAACCATAGCTTTGACTAGATGGACCTTTGTCAGTAAAGTAATGTCTCTGCTTTTTAATATGCTGTCTAGATTTGTCATAGCTTTTCTTCCAAGGAGCAAGCATCTTCAAATTTCATGGCTGCAGTCACCAACTTCAGTGATTTTGGAGCTCAAGAAAATAAAGTCTGTCACTATTTCCATTGTTTTCCCACCTATTTGCCATGAAGTGATGGGACCAGATACCATGATCTGAGTTTTTTGAATGTTGAGTTTTAAGCCAGCTTTTTCACTCTCCTCTTTCACTTTCATGAAGAGGCTCTTTAAGGGACATTCTACCCTAAAGAAACTCATTCTGATTAAAACAGAGCAGATGTTTCTTTGCGGGTTCTAGGTGACAGTGTCAGCCAAGTCTTTCACCCCACTTTTGTGGTTGCTTTTACAACATGTCTTCAAAGTTATTATCTAAATTTCTCCTTACTAGGACAAACATCTTTGTGGAGGTCTGTTTAGTTTGCAATTGTTCCATCATACAATCCTTACAATCCTTAACATCCTACATCCTTAACATCCTACATCCTTAACATCCTTACAATCAGGTTTTAGCAGTCAGCCTGCTAGTTGATAAAATGTAGCCATTTCTGTACTTTCTTTTAGTCCCGGGATCTTTAAAGCAACCCCTCTGTCCCAGTCTATGAACCTATGTCCTAAACAACAGCAGACAATGAAAGGGAAAACTAAATCAGGTTCAAATTAATGCTGTGTGGTTGTGGGAGGGTGGAGGGGAATAGCCTGTTTAGTGGATTTAAATGAAAGAAACTCAGTCATGTATTTAGAGCCAAAACCAAATCTTAAACTTGCTTCATAAACAAAATTTAATACAATAAATTTAGACCCAAAAGGGAAGGTCTCTGAACTTCAATAATTCCTACCTTGTTCATAAATCACAATATTGATCAAATGTAAATTAATGCATGAATGTATAATTTGTCTATAGGAATTTAGGAAACCTCATTTATTACATGAGACTGAAACAGGAAGCAATTTTTATGTTAAAAACACATAAATTAAACCACTTAGCATTAAAAAAAAATAATCTTAGCTGAATGGATTTTGTCTACAACTCCCCTCTCTTGAAAGAAAACTATATGAGGAGCTATCACTCTTGCTACAGCTTTTGCTTTGAGTTCTTGGGAAGTGACTGTAGGACCAAGGGGTGAGCAATAAATGACAAGTCATGAAAACAGGCAGGGAAAGGAACTTCTGAGTTTCATTTGTAATTCTGCTATGCATTTCCTCCTGACAAAAATATCCTGGGAGTAGCCACTATGTGTTTTAGTTTCTCCCTTGAAATGAGATTTGTTCTGCTAGAAAAATCTATCCTTCAAATAATGATTATTGCTTAAACAGAAATATCAGACAGCAAACATAGCTGCATATTCTATAAGTAAATGTCTAGTTACACAAGCTATTCACTGGTAAATTTTTTTTAATATATTCAGCACCTTTATTAAGATGCCACAAAATATTATGATCTTGGGATATATCACCAAAAGGGTATAAACATAGTAAATCCGTGAAAATAGTACCTAATTGGGAAGGTGTGTGCATGCTAAGTCGCGTCAGTTGTGTCTGACTCCTTGCGACCCTGTGGACTGTGGCCCACCAGGCTCTTCTGTCAAAGGAATTCTCCAGGCAAGAATTCTGGAGTGGGTTGCCATTTCTGTCTCTGAATTGGGAAGGTAGGGAAGAAAAAGATCACTTTTCAGGAAATAGCAAGCTTTTATTCTGTAAACCTCAAACTCACACCCTGGATCAGTATGCTCAACCCTGTGTAGTTTTTAAAAAGCATGTCCAGGTTCCCACTCTAGATGCACTTTATAACAAAATCTGAGACTTTCTTCTTTCTCTTCATCTACCATTTTAAAAAGCCTTTCTTGACTTTGTTATATATCCAAGACTGAAATCACTGCTCCAGAGGCCACTGCTGTAAATGAGTCGTTAGAGAAGCAACTTATAGGGTGATAGAAAGACTAGGGATACAGTGGAGTAACAGAAAAGGTTGGTACCAGATAAAATGCTCTATGCCTTTGATTGGAAGTGTTGACCTGAAAAATAGTCACAACCTAAAAGTTGAGAGTTATATTTTATTCAGTGGGAAATTTTAGGACTTCAAGCCTAGGAGACAGGTCATCTCAAGTGACCCTGGGAGAACTGCTCCAGGGAGGCAGGAGGGGGGCCAGTGAGGAGTCAGGTTACATAGAAGTTTGCAACAAAGGACAGATAGTCTGAACATCAGAAGTGTTTTTGTGAATTAAAGAAAACCAGATGCCTCAAGTTAAGGAATTTAGCGCTTTTCTATGTATGGGAAGATGCAAGAGTCTGGGCTCACTGAGATCATTCCATTCATGCATCTTACCTATCTGGAGCTAGTACCCTGAGCTTTTCCTCAGGGCTCACCATAGGGAGTGGCTGCAGCCTAACAGTTGCCGGATGGCAGGTATTGTTCTGCTTCCTGGATGCCCTGGAGAGCTGGAATTGCTGATGACTGTGACACCCTGGCTATTGATATGGCAGGAAATACTCCATTTCCCAGAGGGGTGGATAAATTGAAGTAGAATTGTGTACACCCATAGAAGGGCATAAAATAGAGCAACAGAAGACATACCTTAGCCTTCTCTTAGACTGTCTTTGTAGCACCTCAGGCAATTTAGAAAAGTAGGCACTCATTCAAGCTCATCATAAGAAACGAGTTTCAGGAAACAAGATATAATAAATCCAAAATAGGGTATCAATTTATAATTCAGAATTCAAGAAGTCTAACACTACTATCTTGTACTTGAAATACGGCCAGCATGAAGTGAATATTGAGCTACCCTAATGCAAAATACCATTTTCAAAGGTTTAGCGTGAAAAAAAACTATAAGATACATTAGTAACTTTATATCGATTGCATCTTGAAATGATATTTGGAATATACTGAACTCATATTTATTAAAATTGCTTCTTCTTTTATAACGGTGACACTAGAAACCTTAAAATTACATTACGCTGTTCACACTCTACCTTCATAAGACAACGCTGGTGATTAAGACTAACCTGGGGAAGACTCCCTGAGGAGATTCTAACGGGGCGGAGGGAAAGGGGAGCAAGGGAGTGGGGGATGACAGTCATAGCCCAAGATAAAGGAAAGTAATAAGATTTGTTTTTAACAAACCATTTAAAAATAAATCCCTCTAAAAGATAGCCACTGTGTGGTGTCACCCGGACAATACTGTGCGAAGAACGTCTTGGAGGAAGAAAAGCCCCCAAAAAACTGGAGTTCAGTATTGAAGGTTCCTCATGGAACCAACCCGGCTGGTATTGGGAGGCGAGCCGGCGGGGCGTGGGAGGGCCCCGCCCGGGAAGGAGGAGCTTCCCGGGGTGGTGCAGGGAAGGCCCAGGAACCACGCGGCTCAGGAAACCACCCCCGCGGCTGGATAGGAGGACACCTCACTGGCTCCTCCTTCAATGACTCTCCCTAGGCCCTTACTCTGAAAGAGGGAAATCACTTCTTCAACCATGCCCTCCGGGCCCATGCCTACGCTACACCTCCAAAGCCGCCCCCACTGGGAGCTGAAAGACCCCACCCAAGTGGGCCCCAGGGATGCGCAGGACCGCAGACAGCCAGGTGTGCGCTTGGACTGCACGCGCCTGCGCGAGAACCCCTCCAGAAGGCTTCCAGCTTCAGCCCTCTGCGGCCTTGCTTTCGCCCCGCCTCCACCCGGCCACGTCACAAAGAGTGACGTGTAAAGCGAACAATCACAGTCCCTCTCCTCGTGAGCCAGTAGGGAACGGGGAGGGCGGGGTGGAGGGGGAGGGCAGAGGACGGACGGAGAAGGCTTTGAGGGGCGGGCTTGTCCCAGTCACCCAATCAGAAAGCTCTGGGGAGGAGCGGGGCGGGGCCCAAGAAGCGGGTGGGCGGGGTGGGGCTAGGGACAGGAGTTAGAAGGCCGCGGGGAGGAGAGGGCGGGCTCCCGGAGATTAAAAGCGGCCAATCAGAGCGCGCCGGCTTCATTCGGAGAGCGGCGTGGGGCGTCGCCGCTGCCGCCGCCGCCGCCGCCGCCGCGCGCGCCGGGGGCTGGTTAAGGCCATGAAACAAAAGAATCCCTGAGAGGGGAGCCGCGGCCGAACCTCCTTCAGCCCGCCCCGCTGCCGTCCCCACCCACCCACCTAGTTACCTGCCTCTGCCTCCTTCCCCTGCCCCTCCACCCCGCCCTCTCCGCTCTCCGGGCGGCCCTGGCGCTGCTCGGCCCGGGTCGCTCGGCCCCGCCGCCTCCCCTGAGGAAAAGTGTTTGCGCGCTGAGCCGGGCCGGGGCCCAGTCCGCCATGGGGCTCGCCGCCCGCCGCGCCTGACGCGGCCGCCGCCGCCGCCGCCGCCATTGACAGCGCGCCGCCGCGATGCCGAGCGGCAGCTCCGCGGCCCTGGCCCTGGCGGCGGCCCCGGCCCCGCTGCCGCAGCCGCCCCCGCCGCCGCCGCCGCTGCCGCCGCCGCCGCCGCCCCCCGCGGGCGGCCCGGAGCTCGAGGGGGACGGGCTCCTGCTGAGGGAACGCCTGGCCGCCCTGGGCCTCGACGACCCCAGCCCGGCGGAGCCCGGCGCCCCGGCGATCCGGGCCGCGGCGGCGCAGGGCCCGGCCCGGCGGGCGGCGGGACCGTCACCCGAGGAGCGGGCGCCGCCCGGCCGAGCCGGAGTCTCGGAGGCGGCCGAGCTGGAGCTGGAGGAGGAGGACGACGACGACGACGACGACGAGGAGGAGGAGGAGGGGGAGGACGCGGAGCTGGACGGAGAACTGCTAGAGGAGGAGGAGCTGGAGGAGGCAGAGGAGGAGGGCCGGCCGTCCCTTCTGCTGCTGTCGCCGCCCGCGGCCGCCGCCTCTCAGACCCAGCCGATCCCGGGCGGGTCCCTGGGGTCGGTGCTGCTGCCCCCCGCCGGCTTCGATGCCCGGGAGGCGGCCGCGGCGGCGGCGGCAGCGGGGGTGCTCTACGGAGGGGACGATGCCCAGGGCATGATGGCGGCGATGCTGTCCCACGCCTACGGCCCCGGCGGCTGCGGGGCGGCGGCGGCGGCGGCGGCGGCGGCCGCCCTGAACGGGGAGCAGGCGGCCCTGCTCCGGAGAAAGAGCGTTAACACCACCGAGTGCGTCCCGGTGCCCAGCTCCGAGCATGTCGCCGAGATTGTCGGTCGCCAGGGTGAGTGCGAGTAGGGGGGTGGAGGGCTGTCCAGCCGGGCTGGGCCCTGGGCATGAGTGGGGAGACGAAAGAAAGGAGCTTGGGGCTGGAAAGGCGAACCTGGCGAGGCCCCTAGGTCCACCGGGAAGGGGTGTGGGAGGAACCCGAGGGGCTAAGAGACGAGAAGATGGGTCACCTTGCGAACCTCCCCCCCCCCCCCCCCACGGTATCCCTCTCCTCTTGCACGGTACAAGGCGATAAGTTTCTCGAGCCACCGAGCCCGGCGGTGTCCTCTTGACTCGGGCTGTATTCCTGGAACACCCCGGCTGGCGTGACACCAGAAACAACCTGAGGTGGTAAAAGGTCGGGTCGGTGGATTCGGTGTCGTGCACGAAAAGCTTCGAGATAGCAAATTTGCGCAGCCGACTACTGTCTTTGTAAAAAGCTCTCAGCCTCCCTTTCAACGGGTTGCTGGGAAGAAGAAATTGACAGAAATGGAGGCTTGTAGGGGAGAAAAAAGCTCATTCGCGAGGGACGAGGGGATGTTCAAGTGGTCGTTCTTACGGCCACCCCCCCCCTCGCTGTTCAGAAACTTAGCTTCTTAGCTAACTCTGTTGATCATCTTACGGTATTCTTTTCGATACATTTTAACTCTCGAAAGGACAGAGTGGCTACCTTTTAGAACGCTTTAGGGTACACAATGAAGGAAAATTTTGGACAGTGAAGTAATTGAGTTAAGGAACTTTGTGCGTTCATACAGTTTTCAGTAGATTCTCCTCACTTGCCAGCACACCAGTACTGCAGACAGACTCCTCCCACATTGTTCAGACAAAGGACCTATGTCTCAGATTCCAGGAGTAGATTTGTGAAGGTGGGGGAAGGGGATGCCCAGAGTACCTCTCTATCCGACATTTTTAGGGAAGGTCCTATGCTCTTTAGTGTAGCTTCCCCCCCCCTTTATTGAAGGAGTGAATATTCTCTGCAGCTGACTTATTACAATATGATTGAACCTGGTTGATGCATGTCTGTCTACTGTTAGGTTGAGAGCATTGTTGGGGTCAAATAAAAATGATGGCGCTGCTGCTTAAATGATCTCATCTTTCCCAAGTGGTCTAAAGTACACATAAATAAGGTCTGTCGAAATGGTGGTTTCAAATATCAGAGTTGGCTCATTTCTTACCCCTAGGATTTTAATATGAAAAATCCATCCATCTGAAATCTGGATGGAGGAGATAGCATATTTCAGACTGCCTGGTACTTAAAGACAGTGTTCAAAGCTGATGCCATTCCCTTAAGAGTTTATTCCCATAGTTTGGTGAATAAATTTTGCCTGCCTTTTGGGGTTTTTTTGGTTTGTTTTGTTTTTGCAGTACTGAAGATGCCAGTCCCGGAAAGAACTGTTTCACCTCACATAGGATAAAATTATAACATCTCAAATTATAGATCCAGAATGAGTTGGTTATTCCATTAACAGCATCTGGGAATTGCTATATATCAAGCTTACATTCTGCCAGGCATTTGAGTTTATGACAGTTGGGAATGTGAGATTCGTTCCAACTAACTTGCCGCCCTTAAGAAGCCAACAGTCTACTAAAAACAGCAGAGTGGCACTAATCTGTAATTAATGTCATTAACTGTAGTGTGTGACAAAGTCCGTACATGTATCAGCTGTGGGGGGCCCTTGGAGAATGGATAGGACTTGAACAAATGGAAGGTGGAAGAAAGACTGAGGAGAGGTGTGGAGAAGTAATCTCTTGGTATGGTTGGAAAGCTGTGAGGGGGACTTTGTTTTGATACTTAGAGTCTAATACTTAACAGAGTGGGGAAAAGGTGATGGCAAGGTGTGTGTTCAAGGCCCTTCTAGGCTGGAATTTCCTCAGCACAAGTTGCTTCAGTTTGCTTATGGTGACAGTTTAGGACAACAAAGGAAAACGCTTAGAGGCCAGTTTTACTAAGGGACAAGATAGTGATAGCTTTTAGTTTAATAGGAATTTTTGTCTTCTGTATTATACCCTTTAAAGCATGGTAAAATGGCCCTTAATTAGGCAGACAGTTACCTTTATACCAACCTATTATTTAAAAGTAAACTGAATTCCAGGTTTTTATCTTGCACCAAATTATAGCAATGAAATAAAGTCTTTAGTTTTTCCTCTTAAGGCAGAGCTTATTAGTTAATAAGGAAATGTGAGTCTATTTATGTCTTAGGACATAGAGACAAATTGCTGACTGTTCTTTTGCACTTAATATTTTCCCAGAGTTGACAGTACTGTTAAAAGTATGTCATCATTCTCAAGATTATCTTAAGAGCAAAAAGTTTCACCCTTTGCCTGTTCTGAACCATTCAACTCGTGGATCACTGACCCCTTTGCCACCCCCAACCTCAGCTGCACCGTTATAAACCCTGTAAAGTTATTTTCCCACTCGCACAGAAGACCAGGCAACTTGTAATGTTTGCATCCTTTTAACAGTGTGATAATTTTCCCTTTCCCTAAGTGAATAAACGGGCAAATCATTTCATTTACTTTTTGCTTTGGAACAGAATTTTCCTCCTTAAGAATTATCCCTTCCTGCCATTTTTATTCATTACCTGAAGTCATAATTTTCTGTTTGACATCTCTTAATTGGTTTTGGAAATAATTATGTCACAGATGGAGACATCTGTGACTTCAGCTCTGAAGCAGAGAGTAGGACAAATGGAATTCTGAGTCATATAGACTAGCAACTCCTGTAGATGGCCTCTAGTTTCAGTGTCTTTCAGAAAAACAAACAACTGCTTTTGATAGCGATGAAAGTTGGCAGTGTTGACCTCATATTTATACTCCCCAGCAGCAAATGTTGAAGGTTAAATCATTTGCAAATGTTAAATTGGTCCCCCTTTTTTAAGTTTGCATCTCATTTTGAAACCAACAGTACTGTAAAATAAAGCCAGGCACTAAAGAGGGTTGTTGATAATCAAAGAAGTTCTGGAATATAGACATCAAAAGTAAACCTGACAACAGATTTAAGACTTAACTTTTTTAAAATGTAGTACCTGCAAGATACATTCACAGTGATTAACAGGACGTTTAATTTAAGTCAGTGGACTTTGCTCCAATTTGTATAGTCATTGAGAACCAGTTAGACTGAAAAATGAATTAAAGTACAACTCTACTTAACGATGGTATAAATAAATATTGAATGTCATAAGTTCATTTGTTTTAAAGACTTGTAACCCAAGGTTTTATAGTACAGTTTAAGATTAATGTACATCTTTAACTATTTTCATGAGTGATTTCCTTGATGGTTTATGTGTGTTCTCTAACCTAGTTGAGAAAAGCTGTTTCTGGCGGGGGGGAGGGGGGGGTGCATACTCAGTAGCTCAGTTGTGTCTGACTCTTTGCGACCTTTTTGGACTGTAGCCCACCAGGCTTCCCTGTCGTGGGATTTTGGGGGCAAGAATACTGGAGTGGGTTGCCATTCCCTATCATCTTCCTGACCCAGGGATGGAACCCGCGTTTCCTTGCAGGCAGATTCTTTGTTGCTGAGCCGTTGGGGAAGCCTCTTTTTTTTGTTGTTTTTTTTGTTGTACACTCTGTCAAAAAAATATTTAAGTTGATAATCTCAGTATGGGAATATTTATGAATAATACATATGCTGATATGCTATACATTTTTAAAACATGTAAACAATTTAAAAGGATGAGTTAAAGATGGAAATTGGAGTGTTTTGATTTTTTTTCCTGCACTCCAATGACTTTTCTTGTACCCTGGTTTGGCTATTACTGAGCTAGACCTCCTTAGAAATTTTTTTTCTTTATTGAGCTACTGTTTCCATTGATCTCCAGTGATTGTGTATATTGCCACTTTTTAAAACAGGTAATATGACACATCCGCGGGAAAATTTTCCCCAGTTTCCTAGGGTGGAACAAGTTTTCAGGTTCTAAAAAGAGAAAGTTTGGTATTGTACATAAATTCCCTGTTTAAGAAGAAATATCTATTTCATGAGGAAAAATAGTTTCAGAATAATGCTAAAGCACAGTGTCTTTTTCTTTTAGGAGGGGGGTTGTTGGCATTCCCAGTTTCAGGTACTGTATTACCTGGTGTTTGACTCTGGTAGGTGGTTATCCCCATTTTACAGACATAGAAACTGAGGTGCTAATAGGTATCTTGCTCAGGTAGTGGATGTTGGGGTTAGACCAGTTGTTTGA